CACTTCATCATTTTATCATATTTAACATTTGTATGAAACTTTGCCATAAATAGCATATGAATTCTTGAGTTATGTTGAGAAGTTCCCTTAAGGTGTTCTTGAGATATCGCATTCGCAAGAATGAGACTGACAAGGTCACAGTGAAGGTGACCTTTGACCACTTGATTCTAATCAGTTCATTGTGGACTCAAAGTAGACATCTGTGCCAAATTCGAAGAAATTCCCTCGAGGTATTCTTGAGATTGCACGTTCACAGGAACGGGACAGTTGTATGTAGGTGCGTATGTACGGACGGATGGACCACCTGAAAAATTAATGCCTCAAGCCACGTCTATGGCAGGCACGGAGGCATAAAAATGGTATCGGCCAAATTATTACTTTAAACCTCTGTAGTGGCCCAGAATTTCACAATCAGTGCATCTCTGTGATACAACTGTATTGTTTATTTATAGGGATTATATACACTCACCGGCCACTTTATTACGTACACCTTGCTAGTACCGAGTTGGACTCATTTTTGCCTTCAGAACTGCCTTAATTCTTTATGGCATAGATTCAGCAAGATAATGAGGTTTTGGTCCATATTGACATGATAGCATCACGCAGTTCCTGCAGATTTGATGTGACTCTCCCATTCCACCACATCCCAAAGGTGCTCTATTAGATTGAGATCTGGTGAGTGTGGAGCATTGTAGTACAGTGAACTCATTGTCATGTTCAAGAAACCAGTTTAAGGTGATTTGAGCTTTGTGACATGGTGCGTTATCCTGCTGGTAGCAGCCATCAGAGGATGGGTACACTGTGGTCATGAAGGGATGGACACAGTCAGCAACGATACTCTGGTGGACTGTGGCCTTTAAACAATGCTCAGTTGGTACTAAGGGGCCCAAAGTAAATAGTAAATGGACCTACATTTGTATAGTGCCTTTGTAGTCATCCGACCACTCCAAGTGCTTTTTACACTACGAGTCACATTCACCCATTCACACACACATTCATACACTGGTGGCTGAGGATACCATACAGGGTGCCACCCGCTGCTCAGTTTTAATACACTTGCACATTGATGGAAGTATCATTGGGAGCAATTTGGGGTTCAGTATCTTGCTCAAGGATACTTCGACATGCAGACTGGAGGAGGCGGGGATCCACAGCCACAGCTGCTCAGAAAATATCCCCCACACCATTACACCACCACCACCAGTCTGAACCATTTATACAAGGCAGGATGGATCCATGCTTCCATGTTGTTTACGCCAAATTCTGACCCTACCATCTGAATGTTGCAGCAGAAATCAAGACTCATCGGACCAGGCAACACTTTTCCAGTCCTCTATTGTCCAGTTTTGGTGAGCCCATGCGAAATGTAGCCTCAGTTTCCTATTCTTAGCTAATAGGAGTGGCACCCGATGTGGTCTTCTGCTGCTGTAGCACATCTGCTTCAAGGTTCAACATGTTGTGTATTCACAGATGGTCTTCTGTATACCTTGGTTTTAATGAGTGGTTATTTGAATTACTGTTGCCTTTCTATCATCTTAAACCACTCTGACCATTATCCTCTGACCTCTGGCACCAACAAGGCATTTTCACACAGAGAACTGCTGCTCACTGGATATTTTCTCTTTCAGACCATCCTCTGTAAACCCTAGAGATGGTTGTGCGTAAAAATCCCAGTTGATCAGCAGTTTCTGAAATACTCAGACCAGCCCGCCTGGCACCAACAACCATGCCACGTTCAAAGTCACTTAAATCACCTTACTTCTCCATTCTGAAGCTCGAACTTAAGCAAGTTGTCTTGACCATGTCTACGTGCCTAAATGCATCGAGTTGCTGCCACGTGATTGGCTGCTTAGTTATTTGCGTTACCGAGCAGTTGAACAGGAGCACCTAATATAGTGGCCGGTTAGTGCATATCAGCAGTGTAGATATGAGTTTTTTGGCTTTATATTGATGAATTCAACAATGCAACTTTCTAGTTGATAAGAATGACTATGTAACCTTTTTTCAAAAAAAAAATCTGCTATGAAGTCATTTGTAATGAAGAGAAGGCATTGTCCCACCAATAAATTTAATTACTGTTATTTCTGCATTGCTCTCAAGTGTTTCATTATCTCATTCATTAGACACAAGACAAAGTTCAATCTTGGGTTGCTCACCAACGTCAGCAGAACTTTTGTTGTTAAAGAATATCAATTTCAGGAAAATTATAAACACATAAACTGAATGGAATTCCTTGTGAAAATGCTTTCCAGTGACTGTCAACATGATTAATGTTACCACCTAATAAAACCCCCAGGTCAGTGTTATGGCTTGGAAGGAAATGTAGACCTCAGAGAGTAAGTGGTGAAGCACAACACATCACTATTACAAAGCAAGATGTTGGGTTAGGGATTTAAAGCTTGCTTTTTCACTTCTATGAGAAGCATGTGTGGGACGGTTACCCCTGGTATGACTGATATGTAGGAAAAGAAGTGCTTCTTGAATAGACTGCTGTCTCTGCTTATAATACCGCTGTAGAGAATCAAAACAAAGTCATGAGTTCCTGCAAAAAATCAAACAGCAGTGCATGATGGAAAACCCCACCCATTTACATAACAATCTTACATAGGAAAAGAAGAACATATTTGTTTCAGCTGCATTGGCTTTTTTAAGACTTCATGCTGTGTGTGTGACTAAAACCCACACAAGCAGAAAGACAATGTAAGATCATTTTAATGTAAACAACAAAAAACCCACAATGGATAAGGGTGAACAATGAGCAGGTCAGATTACTGGTAAATGGCAATAACTGCTTAAAATCTATTACTGTTTTGAAACTGATATCATAAACTACGCCCAGTGTTTTGTGCCGATATAACTTTGCAGTGAGAGTGGACATTGCTGGAAACACACTTTGGGCTACAATCTACACAGAAATGTCAGATTTTTTTTCCTTTTAATTTTAACTTGTTCAACTCAAGACTTGGATGTCAGATTTAAGCATTTCAGCTGCAGTGTAATAGCAGGTAAAGTCTACCAATGACCAACATGAACATGCAAAAGGTCAATTATTGGTTTTCAGACAATATGTCAGCATAGTGCATCTATACATTATTTCTACTTAGGAAAACAAACAAAAGAAACCTATTTCTGATTGAACCCAGCTGAACCTATGTTCAAACTGTGGCCCATGTAGAACAGCCTCTATCTGAATGTGGATCATGTACACTTTTCTACATGGCACTGATAAAATATGAACCATGTAGAATAAACTAACTTCACAGAGACAGAACTATATACCAAGCACAGATTGGGGCTTCATCTCCAACTATGCAGAGCAGGTTAACTGTACAGTGCAGTCCCTAAGTAGCAGTACAGTGACACAATATTTGTTTTGGACAGTTTTCATTGGGGATCCCTTACTGATACATTTTCAGAGCCACATGATCATCTCAGAAATACATCAAGAGAAAGAGGCTTGTTGTCTCAGTCTGATGCAGGAAAACTTTTACATGAATGTATCCTCCTTCTTGGTCTGCCTACAATGACAAGAGATCAATTTGATCCCATTATACCTGTTCTTAATCTTTGAATTGCCTTCTTGTGAATCTTAAAATTGATTTCAAAGTGTTGCATCTCAAAAAGCTCTATATGGCCTTGCTTCACATTGTCTCGCAACGCAAAAGTGCTGCCTGCTGGTCTGATTATTGTATTTCCCTAATTAAAAGCCGGTATTCTGCTGATTTACTGAGCCGTGCGGCCACTGCATTGTCACAATACGGTCCTGCAAATATTTCCCAGTAAAAAGTCTTGTGTTAACAAATGAGGGGAATCTGTGCACAGAAATGTTGTTAGAGGGCTTTAATTTTGAAACAGAAACAGGAAGTGACGGGTTTAAAATAAATATTCTTATGGCACAGGCGAAACAGCTGTCTTCAGCATCTTCACCTTCACCTATCTTGTCACAAAGGTAGTGAAGTGAACAGGGTAGCCTTTTTCAGGACACCTACTGGAGATCACATCGCTGATTTACTGTTCAATTAAAAGATGAAGGAGCTCACTAAACGATTTGAGTGATGCTCTGGACATGTGAAAGTTTTCTTTCCACTCCTACTAGACAACAGTCTCACACTGGTAAGTGCCTCTCCATCTGCTGGTTCAACTGGGCCTGATCCAAACCCTCGTTTCTGGCCGACTTATACTGGCAGGTGAAGCAGATGTCTCCATTTGTCTTTTAAGTGGTGCAGCCTTACTAAGTTTAAGTGTACAGTAGTCATTAGACCAAGTAGTGTTAAAAAAATCGTTAACCCATAGTCCAGCAGTTTTATTTTTCCATTCTGAGTCCCCTCTTTAAATTCTGATGTTTTTGAAGGTCCATGAACGCAGCACAGGCGGAATTTTCCATGAGTTCTTTTTTCCCTCAGTGGCAGTTTGTGACTTGCGGCGTGAATAATATGCTCTGAATGAGGTGCAATAAATAACTTAAAGGTATATATATTCCAATTGGGCTCCTAATGAACAGTACAGCTCTAAAAATAGAAAATCTATTTGTGGCAGCAGATGTTTCCATGGCGATGACCTGCCATAAATAAATGAATATGTGGGAAACCCTGTCATATCAAAGAGCAACAATGGGCATGCTTTATTTGAGAAGATTTCCTAAACACTCTGTTTTCCACATGAACACAGATAAAAATCTGCACCATTTCTAGGGTCCTAAAACTCTTGGTGGTTCTTTAAGTCAAAGATGCTTCATTGGTAGGACGGATCCTTCCAAGTCGGGTCCTACAGAGGCTAGGCAAGACACCTTCCTAGCATTCGGTGAACACACACTGGAAAGGCTAGCGGGTGCCCAGGTGCATGACACTAAAGAGGCCCTTCCTTAAATTCTGCCAAATGCACAAAAAATTTTCTGGTACTTCCAGCTGAGGATACACACATGCATCCTAGAAAATTCTCTGAAAGGAGGACTTGGTCCTGGGTAGGCATGTGCTGGTTACCGGTGTCACCATGGTAAAAGAATGTCCAGCCTCAGTCAGTCAATACGTCAGTAATCAGTATAAATCCACTCCCGTGCAAACTGCAAACATGGCTGGAGGAGGCGAAGCTGAACTTTTCCCACCAGTGAAAAGGACGAAGTCGGTGGTGTGGGAACATTTTGGCTATCATAAGAATCCACTTTGTCCCGACTTTAGAGAGCATCAGAAAAATAAGTGGCCGCGGAAAGACCGGAGGAAAAGCCAGAGCCAAGGCAAAGACCCGCTCCTCCAGTGCTGGGCTCCAGTTCCCAGTCAGCCGTGTTCACAGGCTGCTGCGCAAAGGAAACTATGTGGAGCGTGTCGGTGCTGGCGCCCCTGACTACCTGGCGGCAGTGCTGAAGTATCTGACCGCTGAGAAGCTGGAGTTGGCTGGAAACACTGCCCACAACAACAACAAGACCCGTATCATCCCCCATCACCTACAGCTGGCTGTCCGCAACGAAAAAGAGCTCAACAAGCTGCTGGGCAGAGTCACCATTGTGGAGTTAAGAAATGGCTCTATTAAACTTTTAACGGGTCTATATTAGCCTACACATTTAAACAACTGGTGTGATTATGCATTGCACTGACAGGAGATGCCTGGTACATGCGGTCGCTCATGAATGGTCAAACGAATATTAGCCTGCCGTTTTAAAGTCTAGAGTGCGAAAATAGGACGACGCCTGTTTTATGATGATGATGATTATGATTATGATTATGATTATTATTATTATTATTATCATTACTACTACTACTACTACTACTACCGCGGTAATACCGGTTACCGTGGTATTTTTGCCCACGGTTATCATACCGTCAAAATCTCATACCGGCACATGCCTAGTCCTCGGTAGAATTCAAAGGATCCTTGACATTGGAAAAGTCCTTTGGCGGGATTCGATGACTCCTTGAAATTCAGCCATTTAAGGATCCTTCCTTGACTTTGAGAAGCACAATCTGTTTGCATGTAGACGGGAGGCCATATCACAGAGGAAAATATGCGTTTCCAAAAATATCTGTATACATATAGACATGGCCTACAACAGTGGCTTCTGTCAATACTATGGGTGTAATGATCCATTGATCTGGATCAATATATCGATTTAATGAAAGTCTGTGTCACTGTCAAACAGCGGCAGGCAGATGGCAAGCAGCCAAGAGAAAGACGATGAGGATAAAAATTTTTATTCGGGAATAAATCAGCAGAGTGCAAATGTTTTGGATTTTGGAGAAAATACAGCACAACAGACAGAGCACATGCCGTATGTAAACAATGACGTTACAGGTAATATGACGTGACGTTACTTGCCTGGAGGGCCATCTCACTCTGCTGCCTTCTTGCTTTAGCCACATTAGCTGCTCTAATTCAACAATGTTCAGCCCATGAAAACCTGTGCATGCAGACTAAAATTCAACTGAGCTGTTCTGCTGGGAGATGCAGCGACTTAAACCATGAGTAGGAAAAATAATAACGCTGCATGTGATTTGTTAAAGGACAACTTCTGTATTTTTCAACCTGGGCCCTATTTCCCCATGTGTATGTGTGCGTATGATTCATGGGTACAACTCGTTCTAAAATTGGTTCAGTATTGAGGGAGGCGGATGCAACCGGGAGCCGCAAAACGAGCTTAAACGGTAACAGGGGCAAATGCTTCCCGTATAAGTTTGCGCATTAAAAGTGCTTTTTTTCGCCACTGACCAGTTCAGATCGCCAGTGCTATGAGTGCTATGAGTGGAGTCAGCTGTCAGTCAGTGTTGGAGCAGAGAGGGGGAGGGCTGCCCCGCTGGATACTGTAAGTGAGTATGTGTGTATGAAGTGTGTGTGTGTTACGCTAGAAGAGTCAAAGTTTGGGACGGAGTCTTTTACGTGCTACCCCCTGGAGTGTTACCAGAGTTTTTGGAGTGCTCAAATAAACGGGCCTTTTTCCCGAACGCAAGAACAGGATGTCGCACAACACCCCGTACAGCTTTCAAAGGCTGCCTTTGTCGGACGACAAGATGCTGAAGTTATGGATAGTTGTGCTACAAATGGATGCTAACACTCCTGTCCAGACACTGCGCCTTGCAGACCATCGGGTCTGCAGTGCTCACTTCTCCCAAGATGACTACTGACAGCAGAAGAAGAGAAGACATCCAATCCCAAAACACCTCTTCCTCAAGAAAACGGCTATCCCAAGAGTAGAGAGAGCTACAGACACAGTGGAGCAAAGCTAGTGACATCACACAGCCCAGAGGTAAGGGAAAGGCTAGTATGCTATTTACAGAGATAGCACTGGCAATCTGAACCAGTCAGTGGCGAAAAAACACACACTTCATACACACATACTCACTTACAGTACCAAGTGGGGCAGCCCTCCCCCTCTCTGCTCCAACACTGACTGACAGCTGACTCCACTCATAGCACTCATAGCACTGGCGATCTGAACCGGTCAGTGGTGAAAAAAAGCACTTTTAATGCGCAAACTTATACGGGACGCATTTGCCCCCGTTACCGTTTTAGCTCGTTTCGCGGCTCCGGCTGCATCCGCCTCCTTCAATACTGAACCAATTTTAGAACAAGTTGTACCTATGAATCATACACACACATACACATGGGGAAATAGGGCCCACGTTGAAAAATACCGAAGTTGTCCTTTAAGCTATGAGAAGAGGAAAAATAACCGCTAGCCGCTAGGCTAATTAATGCATTGTAAACAGCTAAAGCTAATTTCAGGTCACTAGCAAAAAACAATTGTTTTGTCCATGAACCTTGACAGTTATTACTGAGCTGAATGTGACACTTTTGTTTAATGATCTTGTTGTTAATCTGTGTTGTATGACTGTTTGGAGAAGTTTTCCTTTAGGGCTTAAAGCCAGATATTCCTGAAGTTTTATGAAAAAGATGATGGTTTGGTTTAGAAAAAAAATTCTTCCACAATGGTCTCTCTGACAGAACGCCCTGAGGGTTAACTTATCCCATTTGCTGTTTTATTTGTGTACTTATTATTTATGTGTTGTTTATGTGTTTTATGACCAAAAGTAAAAAAGAAAGGTGTGGCAGCCTCTTCTGTAACAGACTGCGTTAAATGGGCATTTAATATCGCCTAATATCGATCGCAGACCCCTGGATCGTATCAAATTGAAATCGTGTTGTGACAGACCTTGTAATATCGGAAAAATATCGTATTGTTGTCCAAAGAATTGATATAATATTGTATCTTGATGAAATTGGTGATTTGCACCCCTAGTCAATATTCCTAAGGATCAAGATTATTGTTTCTTGTGAAAATAACAAAATGCTGTTGTTTTCCCCCCGTTAAAGGGTTTTTTTGGGGGGGGAGGTTTTCCTTATCCGCTGCGAGGGTCCAAGGGACAGAGGGATGTTGTATGCTGTAAAGTCCTGTGAGACATATTGTGATTTCTGATATTGGGCTTCATAAATAAAACTGATTGATTGAATTGATTGATTAAGTTTTTTAAGTAATTTTCTTAATATTTTGAGTAGTGCATTTTTTTTTTTTCAGCTCCATTGTACTGGGGTGGAGGCTGACAGGAGTGGGTGGGTTGAGGCACAACTTTCAAGGATGAAAATATCACTAACTTTACACACAAAGGCAGAAATCATTTGCATGGCTAGAAACCACTGTTTCTGTTTGCTTGTTTTTCATGGGTGAACAGACACTTTAAAATCCTATGTGCTAAAGTGCCATGCTAAAACCAAATCAATGTGGCATGTCCTAATACTCACAGACTGCACTGTACTGTATACAGGTCTCCTGTTTATTCAATATTAAGCACAGATTGGGTTGAATTGGCTGCGACCCGGTGTCAACACAATACCCCCATTTCACCTCTAGGGTCATGAATTGTAAAAACTGTGATGAACTTTGAATAATAATAGTCCGACCTTTCGATCATGGTGCCGTTCTGGATCATCCATACATCACAGTAGGTTCTGGCCACCAACATGGCAGCAATAAGGATAAGGCAGCCAGTCTGTGGTGAAGACAAGAGCCACAGTGAACAGTCAGTAGAGCCTGTAAAACACTGCATATCATAAAGTCCTTTATTGTCCTGCCCTTGACTCTGCTTATATTTACTAAACTGATCGGATAAGACTACATATAACCAGAGGAAACACGTGGCTCTGACCTTGGCTTATGGAGCTGATGTATCTGTGTCAAAGGGCTCTGCTGTCTATACAGCTTGTCATTATGACATTTTGACTTCCTGTCAAGGGCTTTCTGTTTGGCCTAACTGATTTTCTGATATATACAGTACAGGCCAAAAGTTTGTACACACCTTCTCATTCAATGCGTTTTCTTTATTTTCATGACTATTTACATTGTAGATTCTCACTGAAGGCATCAAAACTATGAATGAACACATGTGGAGTTATGTACTTAACAAAAAAAGGTGAAATAACTGAAAACATGTTTTATATTCTAGTTTCTTCAAAATAGCCACCCTTTGCTCTGATTACTGCTTTGCACACTCTTGGCATTCTCTCCATGAGCTTCAAGAGGTAGTCACCTGAAATGGTTT